CTGTGTGACGGACCTGAGTGGGGCCCCTGCTCCACCCCTGGAGCGCGGCCGCTCTAGAGGGCACTCTTGTGACAGGGTGGGGTGGGGACACTGGTCTGAGTCAGGTACACTTGATTCCACCTCAGACTGCACACTAGTCACAGCTCTTTGGTCTTTGAGGCTTTGTATCTGGGCCAGGTGTGTTAAGGTTTGGTTCTCCCTTAGGTAGTGATGACCCTCATTCAGTGAGAGGCAGTGTGGTTCAATTTTTATAGACTTTGCTTTGGGGAAAGTACTGGGTTTGAAACCTGACTCTTCTGCTTAGCAGCCCCTGTCCACATCCTGGGGCACATAGCTTAATCTGTCTCTGCCTCCATTTTCTCATCTGCAACATTTGGATAGTAGCAGAGCCTTCTTCCTTGGGTTGTATTAAGAATTCAATAAATCAAAATGCGTATAGAATACTGTCAGGCACAGAGCAAGTGCTTGGTATAAATGTTAGTTGCTACTCCTCAGTCTTTCCTGAAAATGGATTTCTGGGGTTCTTCTTCCCTTTCTCCCACTAGATATTCAGGTTTGTTTGACTCTAAGCAGTGCATATAATATATGATATGCTATAGGTCTCTAGATACTCCTGAAAAATGTATAGGAAGAAAGATGACAAAGAAACCAAAGTGTTCACAGTGATCATGTTAATTTAGTAGATTGGGATGGCTTACTTTACAACCCTATTTATTTTCCATGTTTTCTGTAATCTGGTTATGTTAGCTCTGAACTAATAATAATACACAAAAATCTTATAAGAAAGATCAGGCTGCTATTGCCCAATGATTCCCTCAAGTAGGGCAGAAGAGGGTGGGATGCCAGGGGTCTGTCTGTTTTGATCGCAGTTCACAGGAGGGGGAGTTTACCATGTATGCTTATAGTTGCAGGAGCACACCGTATTTAATAAGTCTTCAGCAGAAGTATTCCTGAAAGTTAGAAGACGGGGATGTGGGTTCTTGTGAGGCTCTTCTGTCTTTGAGTGTTTCTTTTTCTTTCGTCATTTTCCCATTTTGTCTCTTGCTGCACTCCCTGAGTGGGCCTCTGGCCATCTGTTACTCTTTTTGGTTTCCTCGTATTCCCCTCCCTTTGAGAACCGCTTCTTTCAGTACCCCTTCTTTCTCCTTTACTTGCTTGTCTCATGGAAATGATGCACACATTTCTACAATTCAAAGTAAAGACCAAATTTTATTATTTTTAATCATAAAAATAAATGTAACTTTCACCCTCAAAAATCTAAATTAAGTTGCCTTTTATTTACTCATATCTAGAATTAATTAACTTCCTAGCTCACTAAAGGCTGGGGGAGTGGTCTGTGTGCTGTGTGCTAAGTCGCTTCAGTTGTGTCTGACTCTTTGTGACCCCATGGACCATAGCCCGCCAGGCTCCTCTGTCCATGGGATTCTCTAGGTAAGAATACTAGAGTGGGTTGCTGGGGGTGGTCTTTGATTTCCTAAATCAAAGTACTGAGAATCTTGGGGGACTTGGAAAATTGAGGGAATGTTGAAGTTGAATTTTTCCTCTTTTCTTATTTTGTTTAGGGTCGTCTGCATGGCCACCATCTTGTTATGTGTCAGAACCTTTAAAGTTTTCCAAGCTTAAAGAACAAAATTCTGGAAAATTGCTGTTGTTCACTAGCTAAGTCGCGCCTGATTCTTTGTGATCCCATGGACTGCAGCACGCCAGGCTTCCTTGCCCTTCACTATCTCTTGGTGTTTGCTCAAACTCGTCCATTGGGTCAGTGATGCCATCCAACCATCTCATCCTCTGTTGCAGTCTTCTCCTCTGCCCTCAAGCTTCCCCAGCATCAGGGTCTTTTCCAGTGAGTCTGCTTTTTGTGTCGGGTGGCCAAAGTACTGGAGTTTCAGTTTTAGCATCAGTCCTTCCAGTGAATATTAAGGGTTGATTTCCTTTAGGATTGACTGGTTTGATATCCTTGCTGTCCAAGGAACTCTGAAGAGTCTTCTCCAGCATCACAATTCAAAAGCATCAATTCTCCGGTGCTCAGCTTTCTTTATGGCCCAACTCTCACATCTGTACATGACTACTGGAAAAACCATAGCTTTGACTATATGGACTTTTGTTGGCAAAGTGATGTCTCTGCTTTTTAATGCTGTCTAGGTTTGTCACAGCTTTCCTTCCAAGGAGCAGGTGTCTTTTAATTTTGTGGCTGTAGTCCATCCGCAGTGATTTTGGAGCCTAAGAAAATAAAATTTTCTGGAAAATTGCCAAAATACATCTTTAGAAATAGAACTTGGCCAAATTTGACACATTTCCTCAAAAGCCCGTTAATTTTAATTACTTTTTAAAAAACTTCAGCAAGCTTTCCAGTTTTCCTTTTATATGTCCCTTCTCAAGTAATTGTGAATGGAGAAATGGGCTTTCTGCTAAGTTTATTTTATCTACAGGAATTTATTTTTAAGCAGTGGCATGCTGTAAATATCTCAAAATGATACTAATAAGAATTTCAAACGAATGTGACAGCAATGTTGCCTGGTATTTACTTGAGAAATACTGCTAATTTCAGTGATGTTTCACAGTCAAATATAAAATCTAGTTGAGGGGATTTAAATAAAGTGATGCCTTCCTATACTTTATTCCACAGTTTGTAATGTTTTTCATCTCCAACCACAATGTCTGATTTGAACATAACATAAATATTTATGTGTGTTCTTTCTCTGGTATAAGGAAGTCTAGTTTACTTATGGTAAAATCTAGATTGATAGATTGGGTGTAAGGAATCCTCCTGCCAATGCAGGAGACCTGGGTTCCATCCCTGGTTTGGGAAGATTTCCTTAGTGAAGGGAATGGCTACCTATTCCAGTATTCTTGCCTGGAGAATTCCATGAACAGAGGAACCTGGTGGGCTACAGTCCATGGGGTCACAGAGAGTCAGATGTGACTGAACCACTAACACACATAACTGGGATTTAGTATTTACTTTTCAAAGGGATTTATCAGAGGAATTCTTTAAAAAGGAAACAACATATATAATACTATTGAGTAAGGCAGCAGTTCTGAAAGGTCTGTATTATCACTGACCTACCAGGCATGAACGAGATCTTATAGCTTGTCTGTTTCACTTCATATACACCAGTACATCGAGGAAGAGAAATTTGTTGGATTTAGCTGATGCATGCCAAGGGGACGGCATGAGTTGTTTGAGAAATAGTGGTCAAACTGTCAGCCCAACCTTAATATTTGCCATTTGTTGATAATTTTAAAAAGAAACAGAAAAATGTAGGTAAAATGCAACAGGAAACTGTTTTGTATCTCATGGACTTTGGGATGAAAGTGTTGACAGCTTCTCCTCTTGAATGGAAAAGTGCCCCTTGCTTACCTGTTAGTCAGCAACCCTGTCGGACACTTGATACCTTGGGTCTTCACCTTCTGTGATTCTACTCCATCTCTGCATTTGCCCTCCTGGCAGCAGCGCCTGTGTGTTGATCTTCTCTTCCTAGAACAGTTAATAACCACAGCAGATGCTGGGAGCCCAGTTCTGCAGTCATGCAGCTGTTAATGTGTCCAGTTAGATTTCTTGAAAGAATTAATTTTTAGGATCTCACGCTAAGGGCTACAAGTATAATAGGATTTAGAAGGAAACATGATTTTGTGAGAGTTTGCGTTGGATGTTGCAACAGATGTAACACGAAGGTAGCATGGCAGCTGAAGGGAGTTCTGTAGTAAAATTCCCATTTATCCTGAAACCAGGCAACTCAGAAGTCCGCCTACTAACAAACACTCGCTTTTGGATATTTTGTACTAAAAAAAAAAATCACCTTAAGAACATTATAGAAAGTTTAGAAAAAGAAACTAAAAGAAGACACTTCTTGAGCCAGCTAACTGTAAAATATCAACTATGGCCATTTCTGAATATTCCTTTTCAAGCTTTCTGTGTGTTTGTTTTGAAATGATTTAATCATAGCGTTCACATATTTTCTGTGTTACTACAGGTTTTGAAATAAATTTTACAGTTGTGTATTCTGTTGAGTATACATTTCCTGAAGCACCTCCTGTTTATTGAGCATTTGGGTTGCTTCTACCACTTTGCTGCTGTAAAATAATAATACTGTGATGAACATTTGTGTACATTGAGCCTTTTCTGTATTTTGGGTGATTTGCTGATGGTGGCTGTTGAGAATGTGCTGATTGGGTCAATGGTTGTGGTGAGTGTTCGGATGTACCCTTCTTTAATCAGTGGGGGGATGTAGTGACTGGGTGGAGAGGGCTGGGGAGGTGGGGGTCTGGGAAGACTCCTGAGTTTCTAGCCTGTGTGACGTTGTGAATGGTTGGCACAGATAGGGTGAAAGTGGTGGGCTTCGTTTGGGATGTGGGGCCTCCAGACAGAGAGTGGGATTTAACAGATCCATGAAGCGCAGACACTAGGGCTCAGTGACAGGCCAGGGACTGAGGTCTGGATGGAGGGACCATCAGCATCTAGGTGTGATCGAAGCTGTGATTGTTGTGAGGGTCACTTAGGGTGAGGAGGGAGGAAGGGAGAAGGTGGGTGATAGAAGTCTGGGAGACATTATTTTGTGACAAGTCGACAAAGGAGAAGAAGCTGCTGAGGAGGAGGAGGGTTGGTGGGGGTGGGAAGTGGACAGCCAGGAAGAAGTGGCCAGAGGGAAGCCAGGGCTGGAGAGAGGTTTTAGGAAGAAGTGTGGTGGGCCGCAAACAGGTGGTGACATTGTACTTGAAGATGTTTCAGTGGCATGTGCTGAGGGAGCTCTGGATGCCTAGGAAGGATGTCAAAGGTCAAGGTCAAAGGTCGGTGCATCAGAAAGCTTGGCTGTGGAGGAAGAGAGAAGTATAAGGGGTTATAGAATGTCGTATTAATCTGCATGTGCTGCTGTGACAAAATGCTATGACTGGGTGTTGTACACAGCAGAAATACATTTTCTCACAGTTCTGCAGGCTGGAAGTCCAAGATCAAGGAGTCGGCAGGCTTGGTTTCTTTGAGGCCTCTCTTCTTGACTTACAGGTGACCGCCTTCCCGCTGGACCTTATACAGACATCCCTCAGTCTGTGCTGCCTGTGCTCCTGTTCCGTTAGGACACCAGTCATGTTGGGTTCGGGCCCACCCTAACAGCCTCCTTTTGACGTAATCGCCTGTTTAAAGGCCCTGTCTCCAAGTGCTGTTGAGTCCCTCAGTCGTGTCTGACTTGTTTTGCAGCCCCATGAACTGCAGCCCGCCAGGCTCCTCTGTCCTTGGAATTTTCTAGGCAAGAATACTGGAGTGGGTTCTCATTTCCTTCTCCAGGGGTCTTCTCGACCCAGGGGTAAAATATGGTAAAGAGAGGTAAAGAATCCACTTGCGGTGCAGGAGATGCAGGTTCGATCCCTGGATGGAGAAAGATCCCCTGTCCCATACTCTGAGGTGCTAGGGGTTCGGGCCTCAGCATATGAATTTGGCATTGGGGTGAAGGCACAGTTCAGGTGGATTCTAGATCTGGTGACACGCTTGTTCTTTCTCCTTCCTCCACATCCCCCATCCTGCACGCCGTTGACCCTCACATGAAGCCCACGGGTGTGGCTGTGGTGACCTTTGCTCCAGTCTTATCCTCACCTCCCCCGCTCCCTAGGTGTCCAGGCTTTCTAGGATTTAGGCCTTGGCTGGCTTGATTCTCTTCCTGGAATCAAGTTCATTTATTTGTCTTCAACTCTTCCTCAGCTCTAACTCAATCTCATATAGCAAAGCATTCATTCTCTCAGGTGTAAAAGTTGTGTCTGGTTAATTAACCTTGTAGTAAATTTAATTGATGCTCAGACTGAACCATTCTGTAATCTTGCCCTCATGGCTGCTCATTTCACAGTTAAAAAAAAAAAAAAAAAAAACAAACCATAGTGGAAACATTGATTTAGTCAGGGTTCAGTCAAAATTTTTATGAGTTCCCCTCATATTTTACAAATTAATGCTCCCCCCCAACAAAGTTTCTTTTTGGATTCCTTCCCCCCCCCCCCCCCCCCCCCCCCCCCCCCGCCCAAGAGCCCATGTCAGTTAAAATAAGACTTGAGTGGGTGGCTATCCCAGTAGTGCCTGGGGGCAGGACTATTTGGGTAGATACGGTATTACTGCCTTTTTTCTCCAGATGTGGGTGTTTTTTTTTGGAATTAAAAGTATACAGAAGTGTAGGTTCTCCTACTAGATGCAGACGAGGGAGGCTTTCCATGCATGGTATTGGTGAAGGAGCTGGGGTTTAACTGTGAGTATATGTTATTTAAAATGGTTGCTCACTTTGGGGTGTCTGTATGTGTGTTTACATAGTGTTTCTCTCAGTAGTCTATTGAAATATATCAGCATGATTTCTACATAACAGTTCATATTTTTATTGAAAAGGCTACCAGATTTCTCAAAGGAGATAAATTATGGATAGATTTACTGTTTGGCTACCTAAAATAGAAGCACCCAGATTTTTCTGGGCAAGCTTGAGAGGAACATTTATCTCTGTCGACAGCTTTAAAAGAAGTATATAATTTTAAAGTATGAAACTCAAATTTAGTTTTTAATAGTAACTTCTGTGTTTTTTCTCTCTTTGAGAGGTAGGTTATTGGAATGACATGTGACCTTGTACTCTTGACTCTATGTCTGGTTGTGGGTTTGAAGTGTTATTTTTGTGCTTTCTTAAATGACTTAAGCACTTCTGACTGTACATTTGGGACAGAATAAATATGGTAGTTGGATATGGTTTTGAAAAACCAACTAGATTTTTAGCCTGGTAATATGATAGTACTGTTCATTCTTATAACTGTCTAGGCTCATAACTTTAAAAAACTCTTTAAGCTCCTAGGGACCTCCAGATTGGCTGGGTTAGCTGGTGCTCTTTTCCTTTGTGAAATGTATCAGCTGATGCCCATAACACAGGAAAATGCCAAGTTGGAGGACCATCCTGTAGTGTGCTCTTGAGTTTCCCTTCTTACCAGTCTATGCTTCTCTGGACTCAGCTGTGTTTATTTCAAGCCTATTTATGCCAGCTTTACTTATTCTTATAGTTAATATAATGTTGTTAAAATGTATGCAAAAAGAATTGTTTCTATGAAAATTCATTTGATTATTTTATAAACCACCTAATAAGAATAAGTTTCTAAAAGTGATTGCAGCTGATTTAGGAGGAGCTGAAGTAACTGAAGGATTTGCTGTTGTTTAGTTGCCCAGTCATGTCTCATTCTTTGTGACCCTGTGGACTGAACCCACCAGGCTTCTCTATCCATGGGATTTCCCAGGCAAGAATACTGGAGTGGATTGCCATTTCCTTCTCCAGGGGATCTTCCTGACCCAGGGATTGAACCTGTGTCTCCTGCTTGGCAGGCAGAGTCTTCACTACTGAGCCACCAGGGAATCTCAGAGGATTTGGGAGAGCATAAAATCAGTGTTCCCATTAAAATTGTCAGTTATTGAGCATAAGTAGATTAACTGGTGATTATGTAAAACCTGAGAATCTTAGTGACTCAACTAATCACACTCACAGTGGGTGGGCCATTATAGGTGAGGTGGGAGGTCTGCCCATGTGGCCCTGGTCCTCAGTCCAGGGTGCAGTGTGATTTAGCTGTGCCCTCTGAAACACTGCTTACCCTGTGGCAGAGGAAAGGCAGATGTGAAACCTTCTTAGCTATACACCTGAATTCAGCAACCCCGTAGAGAAGAGTAGTGAGCATTTGTCAGGAATACCGCAGTCCACCCCACATTGCATCCCAGGTGTCTTAATAGCCTCACCTTTCTTTGAAGAAATTAGACCTGGAAAGTGATGCCATGGAGGACGTTTTACAAGAGACCACTGGAGATTACAGTCAATGGACATAGACTCAGAAGGCCTCAACACTACAGAAAAAGATTGGAAAATAAATGTATATCTTTATAGGGTTTATTTAAAATAATAGGTTTAGGGGGACTTCCCTGGTGGTCCACTGTTTAAGACTGTGCTTCCACTGCAGGCGACCCGGGTTCGGTCCCTGGTTGGGGAACTAAGGTCCCCATGCTGCTGCTAAGACCCGGTGCAACTAAACACATATATTAAAAAATAATATTAATAGGCTTTGGTATATATCATTTATTTATGACTTCCAACCTTAACTGACCTTTTAAAAAACACAACCAGCCAAACTTAAGCATTAGGATGAAAAAGGACCTGAGTCTTAAATCCTCCTTTCTCTCTGTGCTCTCCCATCAAGTTAGTTTCCCACCTCTTACGACAGATTTGTCAGTTCTTTCTCTTGCACTTATCTTCTTGTTTCATTTCTATTGGTTCTACCCTGGTTCTTATTCCTGACTTCTAGATTCATGCCCCAACTGAATTTCCTGCTGCTAGCTTGTACAGTGCATTTATGCAAGTAGAAAAAGGTGTCCTTTAGGGCAATCACAGCCCCTCGGGACCTTGACTTGATGTCAGTCCCCACATTACCCCTTGGCTGGCCCAGTTTTATGCAGTGCTTGAACTGAACACTGCACAGAGCAATCCCACTTCCTGCTTCTACTCACTCCCCCAACAAATTCAGATTATTTCCTGATCAAATTTCAAATTTTTGTTGTCTCCATGTCTGCTCAAAAATTTTTGATGACTTCCCATCACCTCTAACGGCTGTCCTCAACTTCATTTTCCATCCGACGATCACCAGTGACTGCCAGTCACACTTGTTGCCCCCTGGACGCACTGATACCAGTAATGACTGCAGGAGGCAGGCTGTGTGATGCCCCCTCCCCTCTCCCCCGCCTCCCCCCCCCCCCCCCCACCTCACCTCAGCCCTGCCCCAGCTCTTCTTTCCTCCCAGCCTCACGGGCCCCGCAGGAGGTGAGATTAGCTGTCTCCTGCTGCTGTTCTGTCTAAGGTTTTGTACCTCTTGTTTAAGTTATTCTGTCTTTAATCACATTCTGAGTGCTCAGTTGCTTCAGTCGTGTCCGATTCTTTGAGACCCTGTGGACGGTAGCCCACTAGGCTCCTCTGTCCATGGGGATTCTCCAGGCAAGAATACTGGAGTGGGTTGCCATGCACTCCTCCAGGGGATCATCCTGACCCAGGGATCAAACCTGCATCTCTTAGGTCTGCTGCATTGGCAGGTGGGTTCTTTACCACTAGCGCCGCCTGGGAAGCCCCTAATCACATTCTAGTAATCATATCCTACTCATCCTCAAGAAGGATGGTCAGGTTTCACCTCTTCAGCCATCCTTCTGTGATTCTCCTAGACCATGAAAATAGTTCACCTTTGAACATAGATGGTAGTCTCTATATTCTTTTTATAGTGAATTATCAGCCTTATGTGAGCACTTGTTTTTTTTTAGATTTTTAAAAAAATTTTGATGTGGACAATATTTAAAGTCTTTGTTGAATTTGTTACAATTTTGCTTCTGTTTTTTTTTTGTGGCTTGCTGGCCTTGCAAGCTATGTGGGTTCTTAGCTCTGCCCACCAGGGGTTTAGCCTGCCTGGCATTGGAAGGCAAAGTCTTAACCACTGGGCCGCCAGAGAAATCCTTGAGCACTTGTTTTATTTGTTGGATTGCTCCTAAGAATTTTTTTCACCCAGCTAGTTTGCCAGTGACGGGAAGCAGGGAAGGGTCTCTCATTCCTTGTTCTTCTAGTACCTTTGCGTCCTAGGGGCACAGGTCAGAACAGGAGGCTGTGATTGGAAGAATCCAGCCTGGTTAATCATATAATGCAGTTCTGGGTGGAAGCTGAGGCTGTGTCTTCCTAGCCACAGGATATTGAACTACTTTCCCCCTCTTATCTGTTTGCAAAATATTTGTTGTACTTAGTGTGTTTTCCCTGTCACAACGAATGTTTGTCTCTCCCTTTCATGTGAACTGAATGCTAAAGTGCTGGTTAAATTGGTGGAAAAAACAATGGAGAAGAAAAGTTGGTAAGCAGTTTTAATTTCTAAACTCAGATGTCATAATTGTGTCATTTAAAGAGAACTCTGTAGTTTTTAGATCTACCTGCCTACCTACTTATCTAGTGAGAGACATGATTAAGGATAGAGTGTAAATTTAAGGTGTTTAGGCGTTTTGAGTTGATGTTCTACAATATTAAAATGTGGTAGTTTGAGAGTTGGTGCATTTGGTTTTAAATTCAGTAATG